AAAAAAATATTTCCCATTTATCTCAACTGCAAAATGCTGATAAGCACACTCATGATTATTTCATTACCAGTGGCATGTATGTAACTAGAGGAAACTGGTCTTTAGGGCAGGGCAATATGGCCAAAAATATTTATTACGATATATCCATCCATCTTCATCCGCTTTATCCGAGGCCGGGTCACGGGGGCAGCAGCCTAAGCAAAGAGGCCCAGACCTCCCTCTCCCCAGCCACCTCCTCCAGCTTATCCGGGGGAATATCAAGGCGTTCCCAGGCCAGCCGAGAGATATAATCTCTCCAGCGCGTCCTGGGTCTGCCCCGGGGCCTCCTCCCGGTGGGACATGCCTGGAACACCTCACCCAGGAGGCGCCCAGGTGGCATCCTTGTCAGATGCCCGAACCACCTCAGCTGGCTCCTTTCGATGTGGAGCAGCAGGCAGCTGCTCTACTCTGAGCCCCTCCCGGATGGCCGAACTTCTCACCCTACGATATATATTTGAAAATTTGCAATAACGGTATACTGACAATATAATTGACACGAGACAAAGTACTTTACAACTCCACAACTTTATTAGTTAAAAAAAATCAATTTATTTTCACTTAAACACGCAGCTGTTCTTTGGCCTCACCACCACGCTAGTTGAAGCGGACGCCTCTTCAGGTGCTTTAACTGCTTTGTTGTACTCCAACAACTGCTTCTGCTTCAAACACATTAGTGCGGTTAGCTCGTTAATGCCGTCCAGCCCCAAGCACGGGGCAATTCGTGGTAACTTGTTAACGGAGATTTGCCGCGTTAATGCAGTTATGGCATTAACGTCATTTTACCGAGATTAACGCTGACAGCACTAGATGAAATAGGTTTGCGGTAGGGCTGTTCGATATAACGAGATATATATATATATATATATATATATATATGGGATGACTATAAAAACGTCTATTGTTTCATTTTACGCTATTGTTTGTTTCGTGGTGTCGCAAAATAAGCTGTTTACGGCAATATTTTTTTCATCGTTTTGATGGTCACTGTAGTGTCTATATTCATCTCTTAAAGTTCTCTCGTTCTCTTATATTTAATATAGCCACACTACAGACGGACAAGCGCCTGTTTTTATGCGTTGTCGTTAGCAACAACGACGGTAAAAACCATCGCGTGTCTGCTTGTTTATTTTCTACATAAACCTTTCACAATAATGCTCAAGATCCTGTTGAGACTTTTCAAAATAAACTGAATCACGTGAAAGAGCAGATTATTTACGGATGAGAAGCAAAAAAGAGCCGCCAGGTGCTAAAAAATAAACCTTAGACTCAAACGTTAGAACGGGCTTTTCCCCGCAGCACGCCGTGTAATAAATACTCACAAAGAACATGGCGGCCGTTACAACTTATGTCTAAAAATTTATAGTTTCATACATCGGTTAAAAACTCGACTCCAGGTACATGACACCCAGCTGGAAACACTTCAGCTAAGCGAGATTTGCAGAATTTACAGAAAATGTTAAATTTTTGTGATTTATATCATTATTATAGATGTCTTATATCAGAATATGAGATTTTGGTCATATCGCACAGCCCTAGTTTGCGGTGTTTCCTCCCTTCGCCACGACGGCCCACTTGCAACATGTTCTACAAAAAATTGTGCTTTGGTTGCACAAGCTAACATATGGCCCAGCCCTACTGGCCTTTAAAAATTATGGATTTTTTTTGGGTGGGGGGGAGCTTACTTTAAAAAAAATGGATATAAATAATAATCAAAGTTTTTTTATTGAGTTTTCAGAAAGCATATCATTCATACAGAAAAGCTCGAACTCAAGTCCTACCACACAGTGTAAGACAAAACTATACCCAGACAGAGGAAGGAAAAAAAAAGAAGAAAAAAAAGGGGGGGGGGAGTTGCCAGTTATGGAGTGGACGGAAACTCATCTTCAAAATAGGAAATGAAAGGCTGCCAGACCTTAAAGAATTTCTTGGTGTTGCCCTGTACAGTAAATCTGAGATGTTCTAATTTGAGGTGCGCCATCACCTCCTCCACCCAGCGTTTATGGGATGGCGGTGTTGCCTTTATCCAGTTAAATAGAATCAATCTCCTAGCCAACAATGAGGCGAATGCTATTGCCTTCCTCTGAGAGGCTGTTAGTTGAGTTTCCCTCGGTGCCACACCAAAGATGGCTGTCAGAGGCATTGGTTCTATATCCTTATTATAAATGAATGAGAATGTTCTAAAGATGTTAGCCCAAAAGTCTTTCAGCCTGGAACAAGACCAGAACATATGGCATAAGTTGGCTGGCACCTGTTTACATCTGGGGCAGGTCGGATCGGCCCCCTGGTACATTCTTGCCAGTTTCTCCCTTGACAAATGGAGTCTGTGCAACACCTTGAACTGTATCAATCCGTGTCTCACACATATAGAAGCAGAGTGTACTAGATCTACAGCCCCCCCCCAGTCAACCTCTGAAATGTCCAGCCCCAATTCTTCCTCCCATTTCCGTCTTACATTGTCTAGGGAGGGGAAAAAAAAAAAAAATGGATATAAAAAGGATAAAGGGTTTGATCAAGTGTCAGAGTTGACACTTTGGTGGAAAAACCTCCCTCAGTGTGGCTCAAGCTCAGAAAATCATCACATTTGAGCAGCTGTCAACTGCTGTTGACTGAGCCCAATCTGTCGGTTTTTTCCTTTTAATCTTATCCTGATGTCATTTCAATGTGCTTTAGTGTGCTCAAGATATTACACAATTCATTACACAAATGACTGTTTTTAATTAGTGTGCATCGGCCTTTGATGGCCGACTGAGCCTGGAGATATGCGCTAGTGCGTGCTGTGTGAGAGTTAACCGCCGCTGTTCTGGTCATACGCTAATGGATTAAAATGTTTTCCACTAGATGTATTCTTCATCTTTAAAGCGAAAGTTACAGCTATTGAGGCTGGCCCCATTTTTGTTCAAACAAGCAACACAATTGCATGCATGAAATGGTACATTACGCTTGGCATGGTATCGATGAAGGATGGTGTCATGTATCCATTGGAGTGCAAAGTGTGAGCAGAAAAAGCCTGAATGACAAGTGTGCTCTGCTAAGGCAGCATTCACTCAGGGTTTGTTAGAGTGAAGTGTCTCTGGTCTGCTTTTGATGTGGTTTATTCTGTGGGTTGTTTCCATGTGATTCTTATCATTAAAGTTCCTTCTGTTTGCCACAGTCGTCAAACACCTAGCACCTGTTTTGGCATATAGCAGTTTGCTTGATCACGTTTTGCTTGTACGTCAGTAAAACTTGTTTATTCCTCCTGTTTTCTTGCCAGCTATGCAAGAATAGTGTTATTGATGTTATCGGGGTATTTCCAAAGTACTGACTCAGTTTGACATTATCGAAACATCTAAACAGTACGTGGTTATATTTGTTTGCATATGGGGTGTGTACGTGCCAAGCATACTTTGAGCTATTTATTCCAACTCTGGCAGGAAGATGAGTAGTCCTTCCTATCTAAAGCGATATTATTCAAGTTCAGGTTTCAGAGAAACTTATGTAACCTTTTCTATCCATTTCCTGACTGAGGCCGACGTGCGCAGTCAGACTGGACACTAACAGTCTAGCCGTTGAGGTTTCTAGTGTCTGACTTGTGAGAGTAATGTGAATGTACAGGGAGCATTAATGCTGTATCCAGGCAGCATCGCTTACCTGAACAATTTCCATCAGAAAAGAACCATATCCTGTTTAAGTTTATGTGGAAAGATCTTTATGCACTTCAGAGACGTTGAACTGATTTTTGTCCTTGGAACTAGCTAAACCTAAAGATGTGACTGTGCAGTAGCTCTCCCTCGTGTCAGGTCACAAACCTTAAAAATTTTACAGTTCAACTGTTTGATCCTCATGTCACCAGGCTGTACCAGCCAGGGTTTCCTGCTTCCAAAACGAGCACAGTGCAGGATTAAAAGCTTCGCTGATGATCCCCGGGCCGCTGACTTTGCCCTTGACCAAACTACTGTGAAAAATGTTCTAAAACACAGCGTTTCATTTCCTAAAGGAGCCTGTTAAAGACACGCTGGGATGAATGAGCGGTTGAAAGAAAATGAGCAAAGTGAGGCTTCCTGTGTGAATGTGGAATAATAATAATACAAAACTCAGGTTGAGATGATCCAAGTATGTAAACGGAGTTTTTGCAATTTAAGAATTTTAAGTGTGAAATCACTGGCTTTAAACAGCTAAAGGGATGGTTATCGAGAGCAGCTCGTCTTTTTTCCCAGAGGTTGTGAGAAAGCCTGCCCGTTCTGCGTCACATGATGACGCTCACGTTACCACTTTTCCCACTGTGCTTCTTTGCTGTGCTGTGCATTCTGAATGCTCCACCTCCGTTACAAAAACGCTGCTTCACTGTAAGGCATTATACAAGCGAGCTGTTATCCTTATCACGTTGCATATCGTGACACTGATGTGATTTAGAAAATAAAGAAGAGTCACTATCGTCAGTTGCCGCTGGGCTTTTCTCAGGAGGAGACACCCCAGCAGCACTGGAGTCACTATTGGGGAAGAACAACCGTTTAGGCGGAGAGGGAGCGAAATGCTAAGTATGAGGTTGCAAAGTGCTGACTGCAGAGTTCTCACATTGTGGGAAGACTGCTGCTTCTTTTGAAGTTCATTTACATTTCAGAAGTTAAGCTCATGTTGTTATCCACAGCTGTTTACTTTAAAGTTAGCACTTGAATATTAAATTGACACTTCTTTAAATTGCCTGTAACACAAGAAATCTGTGTTAAGACGCACAATCATTAAGGCAACCCCGACAGAAGATTAAACTATTGCTGCAAGTTCAAACGGTTGTTGGGAAAACTTGGTGAAAATCTTTTATACTGACAAGTTTCATGGGGTTATTTATAATAATTAACATTATATTGACATATAAGTTTTTTAAATTGACTTTCTTCATCATCATTTTCTTAGCTCAGGCTTTATGATGGTTTGGACATGTGTAAAGGAAGGACAGTGGATATACTGGACAAAGGATTTTGAATATGGAGCTGTCTGGCAGGAGGAAAAGAGAAGACCTCAGAGGAGGTTCTTGGTTGTCGGTGTGACAGGATGCTAGGGATAGGTGTGATGGAGGCAGGTGATCTGCTGTGTTGACCCCTAAAGGGAGCAGCTCAAAAAAAATACTATCCTAATATTATTCATTCTCGACTTTAGGGTTATCTCCTTGTAGGGCTCTGGAGCTATCCCAGCACAGCTGCTACATTTTAGATTGCTTCCTAGAACCACTTGAACTTAAGTGATTGTGTTTTCATCTTGGACCTCAAACTTGCTCAGAGAGCAACTGAGCAGCCTATCGTGTTGAGGATCATCACGAGTGCTTAGTGTTAGCTCTCCAAACAAAATGTTTTTGTTAAAGGGTTCATGGTCGCTTGTAGTTTTCTTTCCCCCCCAAAACTGATGGGGTTTTTATTTTGAATTTGTTCCCTGGTGTGAGGAGGCCAATTCCGACTTCGACTGACCATCCTGATGAATCTGAAAATGCATTTGGTGGAAGAAAAGCCTCAGCTGCGGCTAGCATGCCATTCTGCACAGGGCGTTCAGCCACGCCAGTACAATCTTAAATATAATTGAGATGAAATTTCCATTGAACTGGTGCCATTTCAAGTCAGTGGATGAGATACAGCGTGCGTCACAGACATGCGAGTGGCCAGGCTGGCAGTTTCAGGGAATGCAATTGAAAAATGACAGCCCCTCTGGAAGCGGTGTGGTGGTGTCCAAGGACACAACCTTAAACTAGAAACCAAATGTAAATAAGATGCGGTTTTTCAGTTCTGTGAGCGGCGTTGCAGATGTTATGGTGCAGCTAATAATCTTCTTACTAGTTGTATTGGGAACATTACCAATACATTGGTATTCAGGATGTAGAAGAACTGTAGACTTTAGATCTCAGATTTCATATCTCAACTTCAGTTAGATTTTAAGGCACTAATATTAATACTTGAATATCTTCAGGTGCCATGGTGCTTTTCAGGTTGCTTGTTAGGGTCTGAAATGCCTTGGGGGTGTAGGTGTTCAGCTGCATTGCACCTTTTTTTTTTTTAACATTGCGGTAATTGTGTGTCAATGTGTGGATGTGAGAATTAATGCAAGACTGATTGTACGCTCAAATGTAACTATGAACGCCCTTGAGGAGAGTCTGAAAATGTGCATAATCCTTGTCCCAACTGGTCAAGGATTATCACATCATGCCTCACTCTGTGATTTTAGGTTCTTGGGGAGGAGGCCTTTTAAAAGTGGCCTTTGGAAGTACCTCTAACCACTTTGCCAGCTGGCGTGATTAGACAACACAGAAGCATATACTGCACGTGACCTTTAGACTTGACTCCCTGAAAACCTGACTTTTATTTATATTTTTTTTATAATTTTCCTCTCGATCACTTGAAGAACACAAGATGAAACTTGCCAACTGAACTCTTGAGCACGATGGAGGGAGGCCTTAGTTAATAAGGGAGCAGATCACAAGACTTAATGGCACAGAGAGCTTAAAGTTGAGAGAGTGCGATGTAAACAGATTACTCGAACTCTGGCTTGGGTCCAGTCGGCCGAGCATTGGCAGCCCAACCATGTGAAGCAAGGTCTGCTCCATATGGAACTGCATCCCTCGGCCGGCCTTGCAGACAGAGTAGGCCATGCAGACACAGGCTGACAGCAGCCTATTTTAGGTGATGGATGCTTCAAAAATTATTAGCAGCACTCGAAGATCTCTTGATGAATGCTTGCATCACAGGGTGGTGTTTAGAGGTCAAGATTTTTTTTTTCCCCGCCCATTCTGTTCAGCTGTAGGCTTTCTTCCATAAACAAGGGAAGAGCCTGAATGTAAACTTGTGCATGGAAGAATAACCCAGAAGCTAGTAAAAAAAGTGTCTACATCTGTGCTCATGTTTTTGTCCATCTTTGTCCGTCAAACTTTCTGCTAATAGCCAAATAGTTTCGCTATGAAAGAGAGTGTTCACAGAAGGATGTTTATGAAAAACCTGATTGTGTGGCTGAGTGTTTTCAGGAGAATAAAGTCCTTGTAGAAGCTGAAATCAAGAAAATGTAATGGCTTGAGTGTTAGATTCTCCCCTCCCTAAGTAGAGCAACACTAAAGCTACACTGTGTACGTTTTCTAAAACAAATGGACCCATAAAACATCTGGTATGAAATGAAAACTTAGCAGTCCATGTTATTGAAGCCATTAGCAATTTGAATGATTGCTTACAGAACAGTGTCATTGCTTGTACTGAGAACACTGCGCCATATTCATCTTTGTGCCTTTTTTTTTTAATTTTTAAAGAAAAATTTGGTTCAACAGTCGACCTGCAGTGAATTTACACTGGAGTTCTGTGGCTTCAGCCTCAGTAACATTTAGACTGTCTCAACTGATAGTTATACTAAGCTGGCCAAGTGTAGCTGGGTACTCATCAACTTTCTCCCGTAAAAAACGCCGAGGTTTCATAGCCTAGACGACGTCTCGTAGAGCAGAAAGGAACAATATTCTCTTTGGACCCCGAGCTGTTTGGGCAGAGTGTGGAAGGACCTTTTCCTTTCTCTGGTTTAAAACTAAGCAAAGATTTTATGTCTTGCACTCTTTCAATTTTGCTTCATGTTATAAAAGCATGTGAACCTGCCTTTGGAGTTGCATCTGGCTGGGAGAACTGGTCGCTCACATCATTTTCCTAATTATAGGGCTGCAAATCACAAGATATTATTCATTTTCCATGTTGAATTTTGCTGATTATTTTGCTTTTCATTTCATTGGGTTTTTTAGGAAAGTAAGTCAAAAATGTTTTCTTTTCACAAAATTGCTACATTTGAATTTTCTGTCAGTCTGGGTCTTCTGTTTGCCCATTTCAGCTCAGATTCAAGTAGAGCAGAACTCTCTATAACTGCTTATTTTATGATCTATTGGCCTGTTGTGGTGCTTGTTAGCAAGAAGTGGAGTCCCTATCTGCCCTCTACTACTTGCAGACTCTGCATGATTTGCTTTAGAACAGAGTATCAGATAAATGTAAAATGAATGTGCATTTGTTTTCAGCGTGCAGACTGGCCTTGTTCATAGGATGACTGTCCCTTGTCCATTAAGTGGACAGACACCGACTGAAATGTCAAGGACTTGCTGTGTGTGGCTTGCTGAGCACAGGGAGAGGATTGTCTCTGAGGAATGTCAGGACAGTACAGCTCAGATGTAGCGTATCCCTCAGTGCACCGTGCTACAAATTGGATGTTTGATTAAGTCAGGAGAATATTCTTACTAAAACTGTTCTCTTGCTTTTCTGCTGTTGACCCTTTATTTTTGTTCAGATTTTCCAAACTCTCGTTTTGCTTCTGTGTGTTGTTGCTTTCCTCTGGAATTCCCAGTATAAGTGTTCTTAGAAGGTAATTTTATTTTCCCCCTCATAACAGACTTTCTCATTCTCAGCCAGATGTTAATTACTGGCAGCTAAGTGAGAAACCTGGTGGTATTGTGATGCAAAGTGCAAAGCTTAGACTGCCAGGCATGTTCTCCATGGAAACCCAAATGCATTTCAAAGGGATGGCGGGTACTGCATCGGCATAATTCATATTTTTGAAACATGGTTGTAACCAGAGATAAATGCAAGGTTACTCTTTGTGCAAAAGAAAATTTGATGTTGAGCAGAGGAAAGAGGAACCCACATTAGCATAGCACAAATGATTTATGAGTGTAGATTAATGATGTCCCTTTAAATTGAATTCAGTACTTAGGCTGATAAGGCTTTGTCTGCTAAATATAGGACGGGCCAAATGAAAGCTGTGCCTGTGACAGATGATTATTGGCCTTCAAGCAGAGCACAGACACACAAGGGCCTTGAACTCCATTCTTCATCCTCTCCGGGATGACTGTAGGAGTGTTGCAGTTGCTTCTGGTGCAGTTGACAAAGAAAATGGATGGAAAGGTATCACCTGATGCCTGATTCTAAAGACTAGCAGTGTAGGTCGTTTTTAAAATAATTTCGTCGTATTAGTCCTGTGAGCTAAAGCTGAGGAGCTGATGTCCGTGCAGTAGACTGATGTCAGTCATCTGGAGAAACCGCTCTGTGAGATCAGCATGCTGCTCAACTGGAAAAACTGCTTTCTGCCTGACCAGTTAATGTACAACATTTAGATAGCGCCACCAAGTGGGTACTCAAGATAACAGAGGGCCTGCAATTTAATTTTTTTATCCTGTCAACTTTGTCGACTTGTGTTGACGTTGCCATATCAACCTTTCTTGTGCCGTTTGTGATTCACAGACATAAAGTGCATGATCGAAGTGCATATTAAGGTTGTACTAGTTCAATTGCAGATTTTTGCCAGTACCAGTTACGAGTTTGGATTAAGAAAAACGTATAAAAAAATACCAACAGAGGCTCTCAAACTCTCACTGAGATGGTTTCTGTTGAGGTGAACAGTAGAGGGATCAACTGAAGGCCTAGATGCATCTCTCAGGTACTGTGTTTGGTCTTTGCACGATTATTTCTCAAGGACATGACTTTTAGATTTATTATTTTAAGGCCTGCAACTTTGTTTTTGTCCTCTACTTGTCCAGTTCCTCAAAATTTTGAAGGGTAGTCTGCACACAGCCTTTGGAGAATCACCTTATTGGTGTGAAAATACTACACGTTTCAGTTATACCTGTCAAACTTAATAGATTCAACTAAAGAATTAGGAATGTTCGTGTTACAGACCTTCAGAAAGCCGAGAGAGCTATTGCTGAAAGCTACTTTTAAAAGTAGTAAGTTTCATGTAGTCCCTGTGAAACAGTTTGTTGCTGGAGGAAGCCACCTCAGCCCAGATGGCATCGAATTACTGGTGTATCACAGTGGAAGATGGGTTTTCCTGTCTTTTCTCGTTAGTGGGCAGGAAATTAGTGTTGAGGAAATGCATGGAGGGGGGTGGCTGTGCTTTCAGAGAGACATCAGAGTCATTGAGAGTTCAGTTTATATACTGTAGCCATTTCAAACTCTAATTTGATTAATGGTGAATAACTGACCATTGTTTTGCTCTGGAGAGCAGAAGGGAGCTAAGTGTAGCTACTAACAATGAGGAGGATACAACAGACAATGTATATAAATATCACTGAAAAAATTTAGATATTTTTATGTAACATAAATGAAAGACATTTTTGGTCTGTTGTGAGTTGGTGAAACCAGAAACGGTGTTCTCCAAGACACGAGAGAGAACAGTAGTGATGCTGCGGTGAAGGAACATCTGAAGTCATAGAAAACAGTGGCAGTTGTTTAATTGTGATCCAAGATTTTAAAAAAAGACCTAAAATAAGGATTAAGAGAAAAAGAAAAACACCACAAATAAATGCATGTTATTTTACACCAGCTGGTGCTCTGTTAGGGCTATTTTAGGAAAACTACAACGAGTTCAATAAGTGAGATATTTCTTACTGCAGAGCCTGAAGCCAATCCAGAGATGAGATATTTTGGGCTTCATTGGCAGGTGTAATTTGGTGGCAGTGGATTCTGCTGAAGTTTCTTTCTGCAGGAAGGTTTGAGTTTTGCTTAGTTCACAGAACGTTGCAGAAAGGAAGTGATAAAAAAACAATAAGCTGGAAAATGTAAGATCTGCTAATGAAGTAGCTTGAGAGAATCTTCTCTGCACGATGACCAAACGTTCCAGCGTTTACCTTTGTTGCATAAATGTTGCACGAAGTTGCATGCAAAAAGTAGCTTGACACATTCCCTCTAAAATGTTGTGGCTTTTACAAAGCTTCCTTTTCAGCTTTGTTCTGTAGAAACGAGTTAAAGCTGAAGAAAATGATTTCTGTAATAAACTGTGCATTCTGAATACTTCTAACTTGAATGCAGCTTATTTTACTGCTGTCAGCAGAGGCAGAATAGGGCCTTCGCGGGATAAAAAGCTTACTGTGTGAAAGAACTGTGTCAGGTTTGGCCTGGGACTGCTGCCTCTTTTGACATGATCGAACAAGATTGTGTGTGTGTGTGCATTCAGCTCTCAAGTTTGCCCTCTCGCACACATGAATTAGGACACCAAACCCAACACGCCTGGCATTTCAAAGAGGAGGCCATTTGTTGAAGACAAGCGCCCCATTTAGACTATCCTGATCCATGTATTGAAGTGTGCCCAGAGTCGCAACCCTGTAGGTTGGACTTCAATATTCAGTTGCACTCGTGTCCCAGTAAAGGAATGTATGAGTTTTATCTTGTTTTAGGAACATCCTTCTCTTCATGCAGAATGAGACTTTGTCTGCAAACGAGAATCCATACGCTGGCTAAAGGTTTCTCTGCTTAGGGAAACAAGCAGCCATTTATGTTGAAAAGTCGTAAATCCAGAAGTGGGAAATTGATCTGCTGTAAAGGCTTGTAACTACAAATCACTGCATAGTCAGCCTTGTTATGGCAGATATTATAATTGTATTTCTCAAACTGTGGTGCTGATGGAAGTGGCACGAGGCTGTACTTCTCCAAAACGGCCTCGGAGGGGAAGTCAAGTTGATGGTTGTGTTGAAAAGCATTGTCTGTCCCATTGTTCCAGCCATCAACTGCTGTTTAAACTTCGGTGAAGACGGTTTTGTGACCTTAGCTTTGCTGTAAGCTCTTTTCACCAATGAACCTTGGACGTTTTCAGGAGAATCAGGTTTGGCTATTCTTCACATTTGTTGTTTCTCACATGTAGTACCCAGAAGAAAGGAAGCATTTGTAGCTGATGTGAGCTCAGTGTAGTCTAGGTGAAGGAGCTGTTTCAGTGGACCACTGACACTTGCTAGCATCAGAGTATTTGCTGCGCTATTTGTACATTGATACAATGTAATTACACAGGTTTTGCACAAAGGAGTCACGGCACATTCACATTGGAGATTTGGTATTTTCACATGCACCTCTTTTTGATTTCAAGTTGAGGCAAGCATTGGATATGGTTTAAAAAAACTGACTTTAGTCTCATTGTATTTAAATGCCCTAAAAAGTTACCTGTTTTGTCTTCAAGGTAATGTGTGTTTTTAGTGCTTCTATCCTTCATTTTCTCAGCGTCACTCCCCTTTTGCCCGATTATTAAAGTGGATTTGGTTGTGGGAATCTTATCAGGTAGTGTGATTGGTGGTGGTGTGGTTTCATTGTTGCTGAATATTATCGCTGTGTTGACATGTGCACTCCAAGGTGAGTGCACATGTCAACAGAAACAGTTCCAGCTCCAAATGACTTGATTTACATTTAAAGTGACCCAAGCTTCAAAGTTGCACGCTCTACTTATTCCCCAATTACATGCCCACTGCAGAAGCCTTTCCTGCTGTGTCACAACAGGAAAACCCTTCAGGCATTCTCATGATGCTTGGCTCTTTCTGGTCCTCACATGTGGCCAGATTTCTTAGTGAACCAGATGACTGCTAAATGTCTTTCATCATAGTCATGGTCAATAAACTAGGGTATGCTTGGATTTATCTACCCTCAATGAAAAGTGCATTTAAGCTTATAATTGTGCATCACGGGAAGCTGATTGGTTCTGATTGGTAATCATTTGTGTTTGCTGCTCATTTTTTCTTTATTTCACAGTCAGCAGCTGCAAGTCTGTGTTGCTCTTCAAAATTCATGTGGCCAACTTCTTTTACCCTGATGCTGGTTGCTGATGTGTCCACCGTTTTAAAGCTTAGTTGAAGCTTAGTAGCAAGTGAAGCTGTGTGAAAGTCTGGCAAAGAGCAGGAGATTCTGCAAATACCTCTTTCTCCACCATCCAGACTCCAGATGGATGGAAAAGCCTAACCCCTGCCAGAGTTTGGAACCATGTGTGCTGTAGTTCACTTGGTTCTCCATAAAAAGCTCCTATTCCATGTTTGTAGAGAAGATTGTGCACCCATCAGAGACTCGTAAAGAAGCTTTTTTTTTTTTTTTAATAAATATAAAAAAAACCTGCATTTCATGTCATTGTATAAGGAGCACATTCACATTGGAGATCTATTGATCTTCATATGGGTATGATGTATGCTACCAGTGCCTTTAGCAACAAGAAAAATGGATTCTCTAGATACAAAACTTTCCTGCTATCATGTATCATGTCTGTGTCTGTTGTCTCATTGGATCAGACAGTGTCCTGACCCTGCAGTTTATCCTCTTACGTAACCAGCGTTAGACTTGCAGAGGGTAAATCAGTGCAGTGAGTCCTGCTTTGAGCATGCTGATGCTATATTGTTGTTACTATGGAATAAAAATCTAAATTGCAGTTGGGTTAGAAATGCTTAGACTTTAAGTCACGTGATCCTAGCGACCAAAAGCAATGTTTCATTTCTTTTTTTCCTTCTTTTTTTGCCCCCAGCCCTTGGTACATTTTCAAAGATCATATTAAGCAACTGATGTTTAGGAAGTAAGTAGGGATTGTTTTTCCTCGATTGTGTCCTAACATATGTGCATACCTTGATTAGATCAAATCACAAATTTTATTATTTTTGTAATGCAGATGTAAATTACAGCCCTGAGTCATTTCTGACCCAAAGTCCAAATGGATATGAAATACTTCTGGGGTTATGACTGTTATTTCATCATACGTTTCAGAGAGCCAAAGAAAATGATCTCCTCGCCTCTCTTGCTGTAACTAACACCCCCCTTCACCTTCTCTCCAAAGGAGGACACGACTGCAGTTTGCATCTCCGTCTCCCAGCGCTCCATCCTCCATGCTTTGTTACCTCCCCCACCATCTGCACAACCCACTTCTTGAAACAACCCCCCTCCCATTTCTCAGCTTTGATCCACATGGGCCTGTGCTTGAGCTTTAAACGGTGCAGCTCTGCATCTTTTTCTTGACACGTATGCACAAAGAAATGCGCATCAGTCCTTTGGAGTAGCTCTATATTCGTATATTCTTTCCTCGCATTTTCTACATATTGTTTTTTCAGTCCTTTTGTTGTTTATTTGGTTTTTTGCCAGTTTTGAAAATGCATCCCAAACTTTCTTGAGGATGCACTGATCTTGTTTGTCATCATTACAAAATGATGAGTGCAGATGTAGCTTGGAGGCTTATAGGATGTTGCCCGTGCACCTGTGGATGTTGAAGGATGTGCTCCAGCTGTTGTAAAGAGGTTTTGCCATCTTCGTTGCAGAATCACCTCTGTGTAGCCCCGATGCTCGACACTTGGGGATGCACACTTTTTTCCCCCCTGTGCCTTTCCATCGCCTTTTCAATGAACTGCTCTCTGTTTGAACTGCATCCATAAACATTACGCAACGATGTCTGTAAACCATCAGTGACTGTACCGTACTTTGTTTTCTGCCTGCCTGGGCCTGTCTGTTACATTTGCTGTTAGCACAAGCCTCTGTAGTCCCCATAGATGTTAACTCCTGGGTCCCTACTCCACACCTTGGCCATGCACTTCTGCTCACACCACTAGAAATGACGTAACGCATGCAATCAAATTGAAGATGTCCAGAGCAGACTGCATCAGACCCAAGTATTTTTATAATCCCTATACACATTTGACATATTGTCAATATTGCGATGAATATAGTCTCTGTCGATCAGAGACAGTATTCTTGCTGCAGTCTGCTTGTGGGCACAGTTTAAAAAAACAAAAAGGGGAAAAAAAACAGAACAGGAAATCTTGAACAGGATATCCGTTATTTGACATCTGGATATCTTATGTCCATCGGAAGGCCAAGAAAAAATGGCTGTTGGGTTCAGATGTATAAATCTTAACCTCCTAGGACCTGGCGTCCACATATGTGGACATCACATTTTGGGTTATTTAGACCAAAATACTCAATTTTGCTCTACAAGGGCCTGATATCCACTTACAAGGACATTATACTGCTACTGTTCTATCAAAATTTTAAACGAATATCTTCATATGTGGCTCTGATTTTTCATAAAAACAAAAATAAGGTAAAACAAAATCAGGTAATTCTTTGTTTTTACATTCATCGGGCCCCAATCAGCCCAAATATCAAAGAGAAATTAAAAATGCATGCTGTGGAAGAGTTCGGGTCTTAGGAGGTTAAAGCCTGATTGAGTGCTTCTTTGTCATTTACGCCGAAGCCTGCCAACATGGTGAGGTTTCTCACAAACACACACACACACACACAATCAGTTAACAGTTCATGTTGTAAGTTCATGACAGAGGTTACAGTAGAGTAGTTTTTTTTTTAAACATATTTCAACAATAATTTACAAATCTAATGCATTTGTTAACCTTATAGGCTGCCAGAATAGACCAATTAAATGTGACCTGCTTCTTGCATTATTAAGATAGATCTATTGTTAATGAATGCCTCTTGCCAGTAATCAGGATATTGACTTTGCGAACTTATAATCAGATATTTGGAGCACATGTAAGCGCACTGTTTCACTTGTTAAAGCCCCTACGACTTAGTTAATATCCACCTACTCTTGGTCTGTTGGCTTCTCACAGTGATCCGCTGTTTGTTTTGAGCAAGCATCCGTAAGCTGAGGTCAGGTGCAGTCACATCTTGGAGCTGCCGTAGATGCACCAAATGGCAGTCCTGGTTTTTGTTTTTGTTTTTTTTTTGTTTTTTTTTGTCTTTTCAAATTTGTCTTTTTTAAGTTTAAGTATTGTAACTTGTGTTCATGTTGTTATCATCATCGTTATTATTATTTTTGCTTTCTCTTCAGTTCAGACATTGATTTATTGTGTCGTATATTATTAAATATTTATAACTTACTTCACTGTCAGTAAGTTTCCTATTGTAACATCTTTAAAAATGTATTGGAGTTTGAAAGGTCTTGCTGTGCTTCTCCATAGCAGAACTCTTCTGGCAGCCCGTGCCTCCCTGTGGTGCAGTGAGCTTTTATTTTGGCAGGCTTCCTCTGCATCCCTCTGCTCTTCCACTTATGGATAATAGGACATATCTCAGACCACTACAAATAAGCCTCCTTAGTTTTGCCTTTTCCATTTGGTGAGCTGTAATCTGATACGGCTGAGGCCACTGGCAGTTATTCCTCTCCACTGTCAAACTGTCACATGACGCTGGCAGTGAGAGCGCTGCTCCTGATTCTGTGTGAGAGTCTGTGTTTTTCAGAATAATCCCATGCCACCGCTGTCTGCCTATTGACCAACTACTACTTCTGCTCTCGCAAATCCTCTTGTACAACATCTCCCAATCCCCTGGATAACATTCAGTCTTTATAACTGGATCAGGAATTGTATGTGAGTAAGTTGTTTTTATTCAGATTGTTGTCACCAGCTGCTTTTATACCCAAACTACTGATTTTGATGTGACTCATCCCCCGAAAGACTCCTTGTCATCTCCTTTTCATTTGGGTTGGGAAGCAGAATGGCCAAGGTGTGTGCCGCTTTGGTCATAACATGTATGGACCTGCTGGAGCACAGTATGGCTACAGCAGAATTCGTCCACATCATGGAGGCGGCAAAAACTTTAAATGAGAGCGTTCATCTGTTAGATCACTGCACTTCAAAGAGGTGTAAGCGTGTGTGCGTGTTTTCTTGAGAGGTGTGAGTTAGATGTGTGTGTTGGAGCTTAACTTGAAACTAGGGCTGCCACAAACGATTATTTTGATAGTCGACTAGTCACCGATTATTTTTGCCATTAGTCGACTAATCAGATCATCATCCATTGGACGTAAAACGTACAGCTTATTGCACCAGCAGCATCTGCTCTTATATAACTATCATTAGC